GCCCAACCTTCCTTCTGAGGAGTGGCTGGTGGGTTTGAACCGCCAGCCTTCTGGTTAGCAGTCAAGTGCCTTAGGCACTATGCTACCAGAGCTCCTAGATCATGGCTAGAAGGGTCATATTAAGCAATTCACTGCATACAGGAAAAATCACTGGGGTACCTGAGAAGGAGAAGTGAGGGAGGAGAACCAAGAGAGTGTGTAGTCTTGAAGCAGCACAAAGAAACATGATCAACATACCATACGTGTTCACCAACATGGGAACTGAGAACCAACCTCCCTGATGCGTAGGTCCCAGCTACATAGGTGGGTGCAGAGAGTGTGGACCACACCCAGTGACACTGACTGTTGGGGGAGAGAGAGGGGTGACACCAAAATGACTGTCCATAAAATTTTTGTTCAATGTTTCAGCAGAAATTTATTATTTTTTATAAAAAGATCCCTGTAGTTAGTTATGACAACAAAGACTTATTTTTAATAAGCCCCACATACATGTATTAATATACCTACAAGGCTAAAGCTCTATGCTAATTTCCTTCTTGAAACTTCTAATGCACCCTGGTCTGACCTGTCATTATTACCCAATTACAAGGGTACCTGGAATCAGGTGGTTTTGTCTGCAGGTGCTACAAACACGTTCTGTTGTTTTTCTTGCTGGCGTTGTTTTAACTACAGGTTTTGTCAAATTTTCTAGTGTTTTAGCTACAATATTGTGGTCATGAGTATTTGTGAACCTGTATCAATAACTCTTTTGAAAATGAGGTAGTAATTCAAAGAAAAGCCAACCAACAGAAACAAACCCACTGCCACTGAGTGGATTCCAACTCATAGTGATCCTAGAGGACAGAGTAGAACTGCCCTATAGGGTTTTCAAGGCTGTAAATCGGCCTCCTCTTTCTCCTGAGGAGTGGCTGGTGAGTTCCAATGGCCAACCTTTGGTTAGCAGCAAATGCTTTAACCATTAAGCCATTAAAAACCAAAAACCCACTGCCATTGAGTCAATTCCAACTCATAGCAACCCCTCAGGGTTTCCAAGGCTGCAAATCTTTACAGAAACAGACTGCCTCATCTTTCTTTCACAGAGCGCTGGTGGGTTAGGACCACCGACATTTTGGTAGCAGCTGAACGCCTTAGTCACTGCACCACCAGAGTGCCCTACTATGCCACCAGAACTCCTCAATTAACAGGAGAAAAATCAAGAAGCCTCCAGTCAGTTACTAATAATGTTGTAATTGAACATTGAAAAATTTTACAAAACAATTTTGTTGTTAGTATTCATATAATCTAATAACCTCTAGTGGGGCATTGCCTATGGCTTTTGACTGCTAACCAGAAGGTTGGCAGTTCAAACCCACCAGCCATTCTGCTGGAAGGAAGATGAGGCAATCTACTTCTGTAAAGACGTACACCTCGGAAACCCAACGGGGGTCACTATGAGTTGGAGTGGACTTGATGGCCGTAGGTTTTTATTCCTATAAAGTTGCACAGACTCAAGCAATTACAGCTATTTATCACATTATTGTAATTAAAATTGATAATACATATTACTAATGGGCTGGTATGGGAGGAGGTATGGGGGTGTGAGGATCCATGAGTTACTGCACTAGGTAACATCAACCTAGTGACACCACCGACACACCACAGCACCTAGCAAAGTGTCACCTAAAATAAATGAGTGAAACCAAATGTACACGAAATGTTGAATGTAAAACAAACTCTGCTCTGTAAATCTGCACCTAAAGCCAATAATAATAATAAAGAGAAAAAAAAAAATGAGACTTGACTTGTAAGAAAGAAGGTTAAGTGGGGAAAAGGGAGAAACTGGACCCCACCCACATCACTCCTGAAAGTCCCTGGGCGTCCTGAACGGTTTGCCCCCACTACTCACATGGAGGAGAGTTCTACTCTGGTAACACTTAAGGTCGCCGTGGGTCGGAATCGCCCCAATGGCAACAGGTTTGTTTTTTTCTTTATTTTTTAATATCACTCCTACCCACAGATCTTTCCTCCCTTGAGACCAGGGAGTCCATTCCCCCAGCCTCTTCATCCCCCAGGACCCAGGAGAACTGTCCCTCAGGCCAGGGTCCAGGAGTAAAGACGCCCAGCACTCAGTTCAACAGGCCCCAGCACCCGCCCACTCCGGGACCGAAGGATCCGGTAGCCCAGGCCCCACCTCCCTCAAACCCAACACCCGGCAACCAGGTCTTTCCCTGGAGGCGCACGAGGACCGCCCTCCAGGTTGGCCCCGCCCATTAAGTGACTACTTCTGCAGCCGCGCGACGCGGGGACTCCCGGGTCTGTAGGCGGGGCCCTGCCCAGGACGGGGCGGTGTCAAAACCCCAGTTTAAAAACTAGCGGGGCCAAGACTCAAGATCGGGGACCCGGCGGCGGCTCCGCGGGGGAACAGCGAGGCTGGCGCAGCGCCGAGGCCGGGGCCCTGGGGCCCCGCAATCCGCGCCACGGAACCCCCGAGGTAATAGATGGGAGGGAAGGTGAGGCACGCTCTGCCTGGTAGAGGACTGAAAGCTGGGGATCGGACTATCGCGTCCCTTAGGGACGGGAGGACTTGGAGCATCAGCGTCCCGGCTTCTGAGAGTACCCGGTACCTGGAAGGGAAAGGGTGCCTAGGCTTCCGGGTCGTAACAGTCCATTGTTACGGCGGCTGGAATCCTGGTCTCCTTGGTCCTGAGGGAGTAGAAGAATGGGAATCTAGAATCCACCTTTAGGTGGAAGTACTGAGGGCCGGGACTTCTGAGCCCTGGAGGAGGAGGGGGTTGGTGGCCCGGATTCTTGCCTTTAGAAGGAGGAGCTGGATTTTTGGGTCTTTGGGGGCGTGGTTGTTTGAAATCAGTCATTGATTTCTGTGGGGAAGATCAAGCGCCTGATCGCCGTGTCCATGCTGGCTGCGACCTCGCCTCGGGACTTCCCGAGTTGCCACCCGCCCAAGGTCCCTAGGGCTTAGCAGGAATTCCCCATGCTTGGGGATTCCGTGAGCCCCACGCTTGGCCGCGCCGCCCGCCTCCAGGCCGGACACCTGGGGACCGGAAGGGAAACCGGGAGGTGGAAGATTCCTTTGCGTGAGCGCCGTGATGTCAGCGCGTCGCATGTGGGCGGTTTCCGAATTTGCCATACCCGCCTTAACCCTTCCTTCGCCCGTACCCGGGCTTGGACGGGTGAACGTTGAGGTTCCGGATTTCCTGGCTCGAGGGGAGGAAGGGTTTGGCAACCGGACCCAAGTCCTAGGGAGGAGGGGACGGAAGACGTGAATTCTGGGTCCTGGAGAGAAGGGTGTTGGGCTCCCGGACCCCTGCGTCTGAGCGTTGGGGGCCTGGACTCGATTCTGAAGGAGGAAGAGGCTGGGAGCCTGGACCTTTAGATCCCTTATGGCTGGGGGACTGTTGACTCCCGGTTTCTCGGGGAGAGAGACTGGGAACTCGGATACCTAGGTTCCTGGGGAAAGTTCAGCTTCCAGGACAGAGAGCTGTTGGGAACTTGGATGTACGTCTTCAGGGAGAGATGCTCGGCGACCCCGGAGGTCTCAGGACTGGAAGATTTGGGGTGGGATTTTTTACGGAAATGACGAGGGGTGCCGAGGAGTGCCCTCCTCCCCGCCCTTCTCCGTTTCCACGACGCTGGTGGAAAATTGGGTCAGAGGGAAAGTGAGGAGCAAAGGGAAGGAAACGGCGGAGGCGGGTACCGCACCCATAACCTTGACTGGCTTTGGCGTTCTCAGGCTGCCCGAATGTGCCAGTTTTTCCGCGCAGGAGGGCGGGGAGGGCGCCCAAATCCATTTCCCTGAACCCTTGAGTAGGAGCTCCGGTGGCGTGGTGCCCAAGGCATCTGACTGCTAACCAGAAGGCTGGCGGTTCAAACCCACCAGCCACTGCTCAGAAGGGAGGTTGGGCAATCTACTTCCGTAGCGATACCGCCTCGGAAACCCAAGGAGGAGTCGTTAGGAGTCAGATCCGACTCCACGGTAGTGAGTTTGGCTTGGTTTTGGAACACTTGAATGACTTTAAGTACCCTTGATGATTTCCCTTCCTTCTCCACACACAGTGAGCCGTAATGAGCGCAGCCACTGCCCATCGCAGACTGTGAAGAAACTCCTGGAAGAGCAGCGGCGCCGCCAGCAGCATCCTGATGCTGGTGGGGCATCGGTGAGGCCCCTGAAGTCCTATAACTACAATTCTCCGAGACCATGTGGTGTTAGGCAGGGACTTGCTTACCTGCGGGGCCCTGAGAGCTGATGGGAGATGTAAATCCTGACTGAGAGGCCCTGTCTGTGGAGAAACTGATGGAGAGGAATCTGCCAAATAAATTCACACTTGTTTCTTTTTGCCTGTGCCTCTGACAGGAACAGTTCCTGGCTCCCCTGGTGCAACCCCTGACTCCATCTGCGAATGAGAGTGAGGCTGGTAAGTTGAAAATGTAACCTGGTTCCCATCTTCCCTTGGGAATTCAAACATACCAACTCTTAGAACTTCTGGGAACCCAGGCATCAGGCTCCCATTGTGTGTGTGTGTGTGTGTGTGTGTGTGTGAGAGAGAGTGTGAGTGATTTGGGTGAAAGTTTACGGAACAAATTCATTTTCCATATAGTAGTTCACATACACTTTGTCTCATGACATTGACTGTGATTTCCCACAATGCAACAGCTCTCCTCCCACTTCCTCCCCATAGTTAACATTTTCCCCGTGTCCTTCCCTCCCATGCACTCCTGCTGCCCCTCAAGCTGTCTCCCTGTGCATACACAGCCCTTGTATTCTCCCATGACTGATGTCTCCAAGGAGTGTATCTGCCTGATGTAATTGTTCAGCTCATATGCCTGTCTCCTGTTTGGTTGGAAGCCACAGGAGTGGGTTCAATTCCAGACCTGAAGGGCAGCTAGGGGCCATAGTCTCAGGAGTTTCACCAGGCACTATCAGACCAGCAAACTTGGTCGTTTTTTTTTTTAATGATTTTGAGTTTTGTTCTACATTGTTCTCCCACTCTATCCAGGATCTCCTACGTAGATCCCCGTCTGAGTGGTTCACAGTGGTAGCCACAGGCCCCCATTCTTGCTGGGACCCAGTAGTTTGATTCCTCAGATTCTTTGGAGCCCAGTAATCTTCACACTTAGTCTCTCAGTGGCCCAGGAGTCCAGGCCCCAGCCGCTTGGTGTCACAGTACCTTGGGCAGCGCCAGGGCCTCACACAGCTCTGGCCCATGGTTTCTCTAACCCTCTAACTAGACCTGCCCCTGCCCTTCCTCTCACATGCAGGCCACAGTCACTTCGTAGGGCAGCAGGAGCCTGTAAGTTCGGGATTCAGTGGCCTGGTGCCCCCCACAGGCTTTCCAGATTGGGACCCCAACACGCATGCTGCCTACACGGACAGCACCTACTCTTACCCTCCTGCTGCTGCTGCTGCTGCTGAAAGCTTCCAGCCTTCCAACTTCTACCCACCCTCGGACCCAGGCCAGCTGTGCCCGTTTCCTCAGGGCATGGAGGTAAGATCGAGTGGGGCCCCTAAAAATGCATACTACTCTCATGCAGCAATTTGAGATATCCAGGGCTGGGTTGAGATCCATTGTTCTGATGGTTAAAACTGAGAGGTCCAAAGGTCCGAGGTCACTGGGCACAGACGGGACAACTACCCACTCCATCAGGGCTCTCTGTCCCTGTCCCTGTCTCTTTACATGCATATGTGTGAGTGTGGAGGAGGCAGTCTGGGAAGGGGGAAATCTCAGCTGACCAGCTCTCCCCATCACCTGTATCCTTCAGGACTCCTTGGACACTAGACTCTATGCAGAGCCTTCTCCACCACAGGCAGAACCTTGGAGAGTTTCTGGACTTCTCTCAGGAACCCCACACTTGCCTCATGTGGTCCAGGGACCATCCCTGGATGCAGCTCGTGCTCACATGCATGCCTTGGGGCCACAGCAGCTGCTGACCCAGGATGAGGAGGGGGACACGTGAGTGTGGGGGAATAGGGTCTGCAGGCTCCTGGTCAGACTTGGGGCTGCAGGGAGGAAGCTCTGTTCACTGCTGTTCCCAACCTGTCCTCAGGCTCCTGCACCTGTTTGCGGCTCGGGGCCTGCGCTGGGCAGCATACGCTGCCGCTGAGATGCTCCAGGCATGCAGACAGCTGGACATTCGTGAGCACAAGGGCAAGGTGAGGCCTGAGGGCCTGCACTCTGGGGTGCAGAGACGGCTGCGGAGGGCCTGGAGAGGAGAGGGCTGGGAGCCCAGGCTCCTGGGTCTGAGGAAGGAGGGAGATGGGGCCTGAGCCAACCTTCCCTGTGGCCTGCAGACACCGCTGCTTGTGGCTGCTGCCGCCAACCAGCCCCTGATTGTGGAGGACCTGCTGAACCTGGGTGCTGAGCCCAACGTCACTGACCATCGGGGACGTTCTGTCTTGCATGTGGCTGCCACCTACGGGCTCCCGGGAGTCCTCTCGGTAAAGTCAACTGGCAGGTGGGATGTCTGGGGCAGACGGGTTGCCCAGATCCTGGTTTCCAGGGTTAGTCAACCTGGGAGACCCTTATTCTTCATTCTTCCTTCTCCTTCCTCCCCAGGCTGTGTTTAACTCAGGAGTCCGAGTTAACTTGGAAGCCAGAGACTTCGAGGGTAAGTCAGACAGCAGGTGGGCTGGTGGCAGGCAGGGCTGGTTAGGTTGGGTGCTCCAGATGCAAGGCCCTCACTGTCTCTGTTATGCAGGCCTCACCCCCCTCCACACAGCCATTCTGTCCCTCAACGTTGCCATGTGCCCACCCGACCTGTGTCCCCGGGTGCTGAGTGCCCAGGCCCGAGACAGGCTGACTTGTGTCCAGATGTTGCTACACATGGGTGCTGATCACACCAGCCAGGTGAGCTGGACTGTGGGCAACTGGCATCTGGGAGGAAAAGTTAGGTAGGGGAGCCTGGATGTCCAGGGCGCCAAACAAATGCTAACTTTGCCTCTCCTCAGCTGTGTTACCTCGAACAGGTTATTTCACTTCCCTGTGTCAATTATCAGCTAGAAATAATAACATTATTGATCTTAGTTTCTATTTATCAAGCATAGAGTTTTCTGGTGGCACTGAGGTTAAAGCATGGGACTGCTAACTAAAATGTCAGTGGTTCGAACCCCCCAGCTGCTCCCTGGGAGAAAGATGAGGCAGTCTGCTTCCATAAAGATTTATAGCCTTGGAAATCCTATGGGGCAGTTCTACACTGTCCTGTAGGGTGACTGTGAGTCAGAATTGACTCCATGGCAGTGGGTTTGGTTTGAGGTTTGCTTCCTTAAAGAATTACAGGCTTGGAAACCCTATGGGGCAGTTCTACTGTCCTTTAGAGGTGCTGTGAGTCAGAATCAACTCGATGGCAGCGTGTGGGCGTTTCATGGATTAGCTTATTGAATCCTCACAAACAACCCTTTGACATATACTATAGTTGCTTTCTCTATTTCACTGATTGGGAGCTCTGATGGTGTAGTGGGTAAGGCATTTGGCTGCTAACCAGGTCGGTGGTTCAAACCCACCACTTGCTACTTGGGAGGAAGATGGAGCAATCTACTTCCATAATGATTTACAGCCTTGGAAACCCAGTGAGGGTCACTATGAATTGGAATCGGCTCAATGGCAGTGGGTTTGGTTTTTTGGTTTTATTTTACTGATAAGGCAGCTGAGGTTGTAAAATGGAGTAAAATCATACAGCTTGTGAGTGTTAGATAAGGTACTGGAACCCAGATGGTCTGACCCCAGAACCTGGCTCTTAGCAATATTATTATCTTCTTTTTGCATGATAGTAGCTTTTTCACAGAGAACTGATTGAAAGAGTTAAACATACACTTATTTTTATTTTAGTCAAGTAATTTTGAGCACAGTTAAGGTACAGACAATAGTCTAACGAACTCCACGTGCCTGATGTTTGTAGCCAGCAACCCATGGCTGGTCCTGCCCCACCTACTCTTTCACTTTCCTATATTATATTTAGAAGGAGCCCTGGTGGCACAGCGCTTATATGGTCAGCTGCAAACCGCAAGGGCAGAGGTTCGAATCTACCAGCTGCTCCATCTTTTCATGGGAGAAAAGACCTGGTGGTCTGCTCCTGAAAAGATTACAGCCTAGGAAACCCCATGGGACAGATCTGCTCTGTCCTATAGGGTCATTATGAGTTGGAATCAACGCAGTGACACACAGTGACATGTTTAAGAAAATTCCAGCATATGATTTTACCCATAAATATTTGTGTTCCTGAAAAATAAGAACACTTTTAACCTCAGTTCCATTATTCAACCCTAATGAAATGAATCATAATTTCATAATATCAAATATCTTGCCTGTGATTAAATTTCTGTTAGGTTCTAAAGTGACATACATTTATTTTTTTGCATCAAAAAACATCAGGGACCAAAGGAATTCCACCGGTTGCAATGATACATCTTTTTTAGTCACACTTAATCTGGAGTTTCCCCCTCCATTACTTTGTTTTTTCTTCATAATTTATTTGGTGAGTAAACAGGTTGTTTTGCCCTGTATAGGCAGACAGTGTTTAAAATTTTCATTATCATCCTAAACTCTAAAGGCACATAATGTTTCACTGTGCAAATGTCTTTATTTGGTGCACAACCTAAAAAGAACAGCTAACTATTGCAGAAGACATAGGCTTATTTACTCTACTGATCAATGCCACGCAACCCTTGTTCTTGTAGATATGTTCCATGTGAGATGAAGGTACATTTAATTGTATATAGTAGATTGTGGGTGACCAGGGTAGTTGCTAGACCAGCAGTTTCCTTTAGGGGCTTGAAAAAGGAGTCTTTTTTTTTTGAAAGACACTTGAGTGGGGAAATTGTCATAATGTCCAGCTTGGATCTGTATGATATGAATGGCACCCCCTTAGATGAGTACTTTTACATAGTGCCAACAGACATAATTGTACAAGGTGATCCTGGGTGGGGCTTGCAAAGGAGGACCAGCGTCTCTGAAGGCTCCTCCTGGGTTCCATGGGAAGGTATGAGGATGAGCTTGATCTCTGCTGTCCCTCCCTGTAGGAGATCAAAAGCAACAAGACTGTTCTGCACTTGGCTGTACAGGCTGCCAACCCTGTCTTGGTTCAGCTGCTGCTGGAGTTGCCACAGGGAGACCTGCGGGCCTTTGTCAACATGAAGGTGGTGCTCTGGACTGGGGTGTGCAGATTGTGTGATATATGGCAGAGTGGGGCTGAGTGCTGTAGGTTGTAGATGTCAATGGGGATGTGTGGGACATGGAGAATGTTTAAGATGTGGTCAGAGACTGGGAGCAGATGCAGAGGACATAGGCATAGGGTGGTGTGGGGAGCGTGGGTGTAGAGGGATGTGTGGAATGTGGATCTAGAGGGGGAGTCAGTGATGTGATTGGGGACATTTGGGATGAGAATGTGAAGGAGGGACGTGTGGGAGTGGATGTGGCAGTTACAGTAGGAAGCGTGATGTTGAGGGCCCAGGCCAGCTGAGCCTGAGCCTATCAGTGTGTCCCTCACTATCCCCAGGCCCATGGGAACACAGCCCTCCACATGGCAGCTGCCCTGCCCCCTGGACCTTCCCAGGATGCTATCGTGCGGCGCTTGCTGGCGGCTGGAGCAGACCCAACGTTGCGCAACCTGGAGAATGAGCAGCCCGTTCACCTGCTGCGGCCAGGGCCAGGCCCTGAGGGGGTGAGCAACGAGCCCAGCCTGATTGCTGGGTGGCCTCTGACGTAAAAGGATGACCCCCTGACACTACCCATTCCTGATTTAGAGGGAGACTTGACCCTTATTCAACCCTGACTTCAAAGTGTGACCTCTTAACTCAGGGTTGACCTTACAATGGTGACTCCTGACCTCTCCCCAAACCCTGCGTCCTCGTCTCAAAGAAGGACTTATGATTCTTAATGGTAACCTGTCACTCCTTGCTTTTACCCTTTGACCTCCACTCCAGTGGTAACCCCAAGGTGGGAACCCTTCATTCTTAATTCTGGCTCCTGAGCTGATCCCCTTTTTCATTGTGTGAACCCAGACCTTCATTCCCAACACAAAATCTTAACTCTGGACTTCTGGCCTTCAATCCCAACTGATCCCACGCAGTCTTTCCTCTTTAATCTCCAGCTCCATAGGGTATGCATCCCTGCTCCCTTTCTGACTTCATGAACCTCTCACCCTGCTTTGCTTTGTTCACAGCTCCGGCAGCTGTTGAAGAGGAGCCGTGTGGCACCCCCAGCCTTGTCCTCTTAGGACTCGAACCCAGACCTGGACTGATTTTCCAGTCCCCTCCGTCCTGTGGGACAGCCAGAGTATGCTAATTGCAAATCCATGATAATGTATATGGAATGTCCTGCCATCCAGGGTCTTACATTAAAACCCCAGAATGGCTGCTGGGGTGAACAGTCCCCAATGTTTGGGGTGGTGTGATACCCCTCCCCCACCCACAAGGAGCCCCTTGATGATTTCTGTGAAATTGAGGCCCCTTGATTGTTTCTATGAAACACCCTGAACCCCTAACCCTTTCCCTGCTGGGATTTCTCAGGGTTTCTGCCCTAACCCAGCTCTTCATCTTCATGCCCAGAACCCCATATATAATCCCCATATATGATACCACCCCAGTTGGATTCCTAAGATGGCCCCCTAGTTCTCCTGAGTACACTCACCCTTCAGGTTCTAACCCCTGGAGCATAGGAAGGCCCCTCTGTGATTAGAGTCCCCTAGGCCCTACTGCTTTGTGATTCAGAAATTAACTGAGTCTTCGTCCCAGACCTCAGCATTCCCAATGAGTCCCTCTCCTTATCTGAGGGTCCCTGAAGCTCTATTAAACTCAACCTGAACTAGAGATGCTATTTTCTAATCTTTGGGGGTATTATTGGAGGGGAGTGGCTGTGGCACCTGGGTGAAGGATCATGTTTTGAGTGGGGTGTATAGCAGACACTGAGGTTGAGACTATGTCCTGTCACCCTTATGCTTTCAATGCGTGGTGGCCTCCCTGGTAGGACCAGCACCTGAATTGTTGGCTGTGGGCATTCTTGGACCACTGGTGCCACCTCTGTGCTGGGGATGAGTGTAGTAAGCTACAAGTCCCAGGGATTCATTCCCACTTCTCAGTTCAGCAAGGAGCTCTGGTAGTGTAGTGCCTAAGGCATTTGATTGCTAACCAGAAGGTTGGCAGTTCAGACCCACCAGCTGCTCCGTGGAAGGAATTGAGGCAATATAGTTCCATAAAGATTTACCACCTTGGGAACCCGATGGGGGTCACTATGAATCAGAATTGACTCAATGGCAGTGAGTTTTTTGTTTTTTGGGTTTTTTTTGGTTCTCATTCCAGCAGCCCTCAATGAGATTAATAGGAGATGAATACCCAGGTCCCTTGCCTTTTGGATGGGATAAGTTAGAAGCACATGTTCTATACTGGCTTCCAGATTTCCCCAGCAGAATTAAGCTCCACTTGCCCACAGTGATTTTGGCTTGATAATGCACCCTTTATTAGCTAATTTCCCTTCTCTTCAAAGCCTTGCCTCAACGTCTGCTTCTAGAGAAACCCATACTAAGGCAGAGGACCTCCATGATGGCCCTCTTCTCAAATACCTGCCCCATTCTTTTCCTAATCTAATCAAAGAGCGCCCACCCAGAAGACCTCTCACCCACCATAGGCCCCCCACTGCTTAGTGCCTCTCATGAACAAGAAACCAATAGCACTCTTTGGGATATGTACCAGTGTTTCTACCCCAGAATTCAGTGGCTTAAAATAACCACCACTTATTTTTTTATAATTTTGCAATTTAGGCTGGGGTTAGCTGGGCAGTTCTGCTATCTTGCTTTGGTCACTCATACAACTGCAGTCAGCCAGATGCCTCACTTGACTGGGAATCCAAGGCAGTTTCTTATGTCTGGTCTCAGCAGAGGTGGCTGGAACTGCTAGGAGCAGGCCAAACATCTCTCCAAATGGTCTCTGGAGGAGGGTAGCTGGACCTCTACATGTTGCCTCAAGGGCTGCAAAAGAATAAATCCCCCTGCTTGCATCATGCTTACTGATACTCCAGCAGGCAAAGTCAATCTTGGGGCCAAGCTGAGAAGTCAGTGTAGGGGCACTACACAAAGACATGATACTGGAGGCGATAGGCAGAGTTAATAAGGGGCGACGGGTACAAGTCTTGCACATCTGCCTTCAACCAGCATGTAGTTGCTCATATGTACTCACATAGTGATGAATTCATAGATGCATGCTACATTTCATTTATTCTAAGATCTTAATTGGAATTCATCTTACAGTCTGAATTTTTTTTCCCTTCATGGCATATAAAGGTATTATTTATTTTTTAATCATTGCTGGCATCTCAAATTCTGTTGAAATACTAGATGTCAACACTCACACACAGCACTAATATGATAGAATGTTCCTAAGAAATTTTGCATCATTAGCCCACAGTGTCTTAGGACAGCTAAGTCAATTGGCATAAAATAGTTTACAAAGAGGTCTACACCCCACTGTGGTGAGTAGCGACTGAGGTCTTAAAGGCTAGTGAGGGGCCATCTCAGATCTGGTCTTTCCCCATCCAGAGGAAAGAAGAGTGAAGGAAATCAAAGACTCAAGGAAACAATCCAGAGGACTATTGGATCATGCAAACCACAGCCTCCACTACTCTGAGACCAGAACTAGCTGTGTCTTGCTACCACTACTGATTGCTCTGATTGGGACCACAGAAGGTCCTGGCAGAATGGGAGAAAAATGTAGACATTTCAAAAGCATAAAAGGAGACCAGACTTATTGGTCTGATAGTGACAGGTGGAACACCCCCCACACACACACCCTGTGCCAGACTGTGGCCCTTAGACACTCTTCAAACCTGCCGCTGGGGATCATTTGCAGTCAAATGATAGACAAATGAACAATAGACTATAATAACACTTGTAAAGAATGTACTCAACTATACGAGACCAAAAGGGCAACATTTGCCCCAAAATAAAGCTCAGAATACAGGAAAGAAGGATAAATGGATATGGGGAACCCAGGGAGGAAGCGTGAAGAGTGTTGTTACACTGAAGAAATTGTAACTAAGGTTATGAAGCAAAATGTGTATTAACTGTTGAATGGAAAACTTATTTGCTCTGTAAACTTTCACTGAAACCAAATTAAAAAAAAAGAAGAAAATTTACATTATTAAAAACAAAATAACATAAACAATCTCACACACAAGGGCACCAAAAAAGCAATAGAAAAGTTATTTTTCCTGCTGGAATTTCAATAAGAATAGTGTTTAAAAAATTACTCTAAGTATTGCTGTTAAAATGTAAACATTATTAAGGAATCACACACACACTGAGCATATTGAGAAAAATGGCCTTTCATTTCCCATCCCACGTGCTTGGATTTCCTTACCCAGTGTTAGCTTGTTAATCACCCTTGGTTGTGAAAACACACGAGGGCAGATTTTTTTTCTCTGCCTGTGGGACTACTGACAGATTTCTGCAAGGGTGGTCCTAATATAACTGAAGTTATAGCCGGAACGGTAGTTCAAACTGAGTTCATCTAATGAAGCTGCTGCATTATGTCCAATTTGCATCATGAAGGCATCTTCCTCTTAACACCTACTAGGTGTATATTTAATATGTTGTTGTTGTTGTTAGGTGCTGTTGAGTTGGCTCCGAGTCATAGTGACTTTATGTACAACAGAACAAAACACTGCCTGGTCCTGTGCCAGCCTCACAATCCTTGCTATACCTGAGCCCATCATTGCAGCCACTGTGGCAATCCATCTCATTGAGGGTCTTCCCCTTCTTTGCTGACCCTCCACTTTACCAACCATGATATACTTTTCCAGGGAATGATCCCTTCTGACAACATGATCAAAGTAGGTGAGACAAACTCTGGCCATTCTCACTTCCAAGAAGCTGCACTTCTTCCAGGACAGATTTGTTCATTCTTTTGGCAGTCCCTGGTACTTTCAGTATTCTTTACCAATACCACAACTCAAAAGTATCAACTCTTCTTCAGTCTTCCTTGTTCTTTGTCCAGCTCTCTCATGCATATGACATGATTGAAAATACCATGGCTTGGGTTAGGTGCACCTTAGTCTTCAAGGAGACATCTTTGCTCCACAGCACCTTCAAGAGGTCCTTTGCAGCAGATTTGCCCAATGCAATACATTGCCTGATGTCTTGACTTCTGCTTCCATTGGTGTTGATTGTGGAACCAAGTGATATGAAATCTTTAACAACTTCAATCTTTTTATTGTGATGCTGCTTATTGGTCCAGTTGTGAGGAGTTTTGTTTTCTATATGTAATCCATATTGCAGACTAGTTTTTATCTTCACATCTTCACCAGTAAGTGCTTCAAGTCATCCTCACTTTCAGGAAGGAGTTGTGTCATCTGCTTGTCGCAGGGTGTTAATGAGTCTTCCTCCAATCCTGATGCCACGCTCTTCTTCATATAATCCAGCTTCTCAGATTATTTGCTCAGCATACAGTTTGAATAAGTATGGTGATAGGATACAACCCTGACACGTTCTCTTCCTGATTTTAAATCATGCAGCATCCCCTTGTTCTGTTTGAATGACAGCCTCCTGGTCTATGTACAGGTTCCTCATGAGCACAATTAAGTGTTCTGGAATTCCCATTCTTCTCAATGTTGTCCATCATTTGTTATGATCCACACCATCAATGCTTTAGCACAGTCAATAAAACACAAGTAAACATCTTTCTGGTAGTCTTTGCTTTCAGCCAAGATCCATCTGACATCAGCAATAATATCCCTTGTTCCACATCCTCTTCTGACTCCAACTTGCAGTTCTGGAAGTTCTCTGTCAGTATACTGCTGCAACCATTTTTGAATTATCTTCAGCAAGATTTTACTTGCATGTGATGTTAATGATGTGGGATCATTTTTCTTTGGAATGGGTACAAATATGGATCTTTTCTAGCCAGTTGGCCAGGTAGCTGTCTTCTAAATTTCTTGGCATATACAAGTGAGTGCCTCCAATGCCGCATCACTTTGTTGAAACATCTGAGTATTCCATCAGTTCTTGGAGCCTTGTTCTTTGCCAGTTCCTTCAGTGCAGCTTTGACTTTTCCTTCAATATCATTGGTTCTTGATCCTCCTGAAATGGATGAACATCAACCAATTCTTTTTGGTACAGTGACTCTGTGTATTCTTTCCATCTTCTTTTGATGCTTCCTTCATCATTCATTATTTTTCCCATAGAATCTTTCAATATTCCAACTTGAGGCTTGAATTTTTTCTTCAATTCTTTCAGCTTGAGAAGTGCTGAGTGTGTTCTTCCCTTTCCGTTTTCTAACTCCAGGTCTTTGCACATTTCATTATAATAATTGACTTTGTTTTCTCGAGCTGCTCTTTGAAATCTTCTGTTCTGCTCTTTTATCTTGTCATTTCTTCCATTTGCTTTAGGTACTCTCTATCCAAGGGCAAGTTTCAGAGTCTCTTCTGACATCCATTTTGGTCTTTTCTTCCTTTCCTGTCTTTTTAATGACCTTTTGCTTTCTTCATGGATGATGTTCTTGATGTCATCCCACAATTCCTCTGGTTTTCAGTCATTGGTGTTCAATGCATCAAATCTATTCTTTAGATGGTCTCTAAATTCAGGAGTGATATATTCAAGATCATAATTTGGCTCTCTTGGACTTATTTTAATTGACTTCAACTTCAAGTTGAACTTGCATATGAGCAGTTGATGGTCTGTTCCACAGTCAGCTCCTAGCCTTGTTTTGGATGAAGATATTGAGATTTTCCATCGCTTCTTTCCACAGATGTAGTTGATCTGATCCTGTGCATTCCATCTGTTGAAGTCCACGTGTATAGTCATCACTTATGCTGTTGAAAAAAGGTACTTGCAATGAATAAGTTGTTGGTCTTGCAAAACTCTATCATGTGATCTCCAGCATTATTTCTATCACCAAGGCCATATTTTCCAACTACCAGTAACTCTTCTTTGTTCCAACTTTTGCATTCCAGTCACCAATGATAATCAACACATTTTGATTGCATGTTTGGTCAATTTCAGACTGCAGAAGTTGGTAAAAACTTTCAATTTCCTCATCTTTGGCTTTGGTGGTTGGTGTGCAAATTTGGGTGATAGTAGTATTAACTGGTCTTTCTTGTAGGTGTATGGATATTATCCTATCACTGAGAGCATTGTACTTCATGACAGATCTTGAAATATTCTTTGTGATGATGAATGCCACACCATTCCTCTTCAATTTGTCATTCCCAGTATAGTAGATCATATGGGAGCTCTGGTAGCATAGTGGCTAAGACACTTGCCTGCTAACCAGACGGCTGGCAGTTCAAACCCACCAGCCACTCCTCGAAAGGAAGGTTGGGCAATCCTACTTCCGTAGTGATACTGCCTCAGAAACCCAAGGAGGGGTTGCTATGAGTCGGGTTTGACTCGATGGCACATAACAACAACAACAACATGGTTGTCTGATTCAAAATGACCAAAACCAGTCCATTTCAGCTCACCAATGCCTAGGATATAGATCTTTATGCATTCTATTTCATTTCTGACAAATTGCATTTTTCCTACATTCATACTTCATACATTCCATGTTCCAATTATTAATGGATGTTTGCAGCTTTTCCTTCCCATTTTGAGTCGTGCCACATCAGCAAATGGAGAGCCTGAAAGCTTTACTCCATCCACATCATTAAGGTCGGCTCTACTCTGAGGAGGCAGCTCTTCCCCTGTCATATTTTGAGTGTCTTCCGACCTGAGGGGCTCATCTTCTGGCACTATATTGGACAACGTTTCAAGGCTATTCATAAAGTTTTCCAGTAATGGATCAGTGTTTCACTGCTACTCATAAGGTTTTCACTGGCCAATTCTTTGAGAGATGGACGCCCCCTTCCTTCTTCCGAGTCTGTCTTAGTCTGGAAGCTCTGCTGAAACCTGTCCACCATGGGTGACCCTGCTGGTGTTTGAAACACCAGCGGCATAGTCTCCAGCCGCAACAACACACAAGCCACCACAGTTCAAAATACAGACGAGTGGTGCATATTTAATACGCATATTTCATATACATGCCCTGTAGTGACAAGTGTATATTATGAAGAAACACTGTGAGCTCGTGAGGTCCTTCGGGAGAATTAGAATAGGTGCTTCTTCCACAAGTCATGTCGGAAAACCATGCAGTGAGCAGATGAAATCAGAACATGGCACTTTACTGCCATCTGCTGAGAAGTTGAGGTAAAAACATGCATATCTACTCAATCTATGAGGTGAATAGTGTCAACTAGAAGTCTGCCTTGCCTGTGAACACCAAATGAGGCTGCCTCGAATTAGCAGACTGCAGATTAGTTAGCACACTAGCCAAGAGTATGCCTGCTTATGCCAGGCAGCTTGGGTCGAATTCCCAGCTCTGACCCTTCTAGATGGTGACCTTGACCATGTGATATAACTTTATCTGTCTCCATTTCCTAATCTGTAAATGGGGAGAAAACCAAACCAAACCAAACTCATTGCCAATGAGTCAACTCCAACTCATAGAGGTGCCCATTGGGTTTCCAAGGCTACCGATCTTTCTGGAAGCAGACTGCCCAATCTTTCTTGCTTTATAAGGGGTTGAGTCATGATTAAACGCTCCAATGCGTGTAAAGCACTCAAATCAATGCCTGGCACAGGGTGACCGTCATATGCATATTTATTATTATATTTTAAAAAATTCATTTAACAAATAATTTCCAAGTGACAGGCACAGTTCTAACGTTTCCACAAATATTAACCCTTTTAATCCTCATAACTACGCTTTTGGGACAGGCATCTGTAGAGGGCTAACTCCAAGTCACAAAAATGGGATTCAAGAGGATGTGCGTTCTAATCGCAAACATCACATGCGAGACCTGACTAGGATTCCCACCTCCTCTCTTCTAAGAAGAGGTGAAGACTTTTGGTAATGTAAAGGGCCATTTGAGATTGCTGTACCCCATCGGGCCCGAAAGTTGGGGATGAATGCTGCGTGTGAGTGCAGGGTAGAGGGCAAGGAAAACTTGCCAGAGTTTGGCAGGTAGAGACCTAAAAGTCCCGGCCCGTTCAGCACCGCGGAAAGCTCCTTTATGGCGCCAAGAGCCCTTCCAAGTTCTCAGGGCTCCGCCTCCTGTGCGCGGGCCCAGGACCTCCCGTAGGCCCCGCCCAGATTTAAAGAGCCCTCATCTGGTTTAAAGAGGTGAGGAAGGCCTGGGCGGGGATGGACACCAGCACCCAGAGCTGTGACTACACCTTGACTCCCCAACAAAGACACAAGATGGCCTGGTGGGGAAAAGAACTTTATTGAGACGTTAGTGGGAAAGAGTGGCAGGGTGAATTCCAAGGAACAACAGACATCGGGGCCAAGGCAGTGGTCACCTCAAGGAACGGTACATTAACTTAAAAAATAAATTAAAGTGAAGAAGAAGTCCCAAGCAGGGAGGTGGTTGGGGACACTTTGGGATTTCTCAGGGATAAAAAGGGAAGAAGAATTTCCAGGGCCCCCCCCCCCCCCACAAAGGGTGTGAAACGAACTTTTCATGACCCCCCAGGCTGGAAGTTGGGGTTCTGGGGCTCCAGGAAGAGAGAAGGTCTGGGCTTAGTCCAAAGGGTGACAGGGCCAGTTCAGGGTCGTTCCTCCAGGAAGCGGTAGGTGGGGTTCTCATAGCCATGATGCTGCAGTTCCCGGAGCTGTTGCTCCTCCAGGGTCAGCATGGGGTCTACCTGCAACAGGGGCAAGGGAGGGGCAGATGGGCAACAGGGACCTGACCTATGGATCTCAGCCCATTCATGCCAGGCGCTGGAAACTGTCCCCATCTCATCTCTTTGTGTCTCTCACCTCCACCACTCCATGGCTGATAGCCCCATAGGGCTTCTTCCTGCGCAAGAGCAGCATGGAGAGGACAATCAGGGAGCCTCCACCTGCCGCCATGATCAGCAGCCCAGACAAAGCCTCACGGGAAACGCCCGTCCCGGCTGGTGCCTGCAAGGAGAGGAGGTGGAGCAGAGGTCAGCTTTCAGTCCTGTGTGCCCTTGGGAGTCATAACCTGGCCACTGGCCTTGAACCTCTGCTCCTAGGTGCCCACCATATTCCTTTTCTTACCAGCTCATCTCTTTGAATCTCTGATGAGTGGAAAGGAAAACCCCTTGGAACAGACGCATTCACCTGGGGGAATAGGAGGTGTCAGGACCCAAGAGTCTGGGCTCTAGCCCCGTCTTCCCCAAAAGCCCAACAGTGCATCCCCCAGCCCTCTTCTCCCCTAAGACCCTGGAGTTCATATGCCCAGCTCCCTCTTCCCTCAGACCCAGGAGCCCAGACCAACTCTTCTGGCCTCCCTCAGGAGCCCAGAGTCCAGGCCCCTGCCCCTTTACCCCTTAGGACACAGTTGTGACTGACTTACCTTTTGCTCATAGTGCTCCAGGGGAGCTATCTTCTCTCTTGCAGGAGATGCAACATCTTGTTCTGTAGACCCTGCCCCCCAAGAACTCTCATTTTAGAGGGTCTAGAGGTGCCACACCCTCCAGAGAAGGGGGTCCAAAGGGGTCCCAGGCTCCATCCCAGGGGGTCTGGTGTTCTTGATACATGGATCCTTTTCCACTCTGGGTTTGGGGGTTCAGTGAGATTCAGTGGCGCTGGTGGGGCTACTCTGAGGGACACTTACCTTTTGGAAGGGCCACAGAGGTGTCTGCTGGCATCCAAAGGAGGCAAGGCAGGTGGCACAATGAAGAGAGGAGGGTGTCACCAAAGAAAGTGTGAACCCTCCCATGGGCCAAAGAAGGAGGATCAATGGTCCCACAGAGGCCCCGCCCACCTTAGACATTTATCCCCATATACTCCCACTCATCGTGATGGCTACAACACCCCCAGACTTTAGAGAACTAGAAATGAGGTTGGAAATGTCTCCCCCAAAGTCTGGACTTACTAACCATCTTTGGAATCCGGAGGCTGCAGCCCATCCTTCTCCTCATTGCTGCCCCCTGAGACAGAGGCTTCCAATTCACTGGGACCCAGGTGTTCAGAGTGGAGGAGTTCCTCTGAGGGGAACATGTAGAGAGGTGACTAAGGTGGTGAACATGGAGACTCCACTCCACAAAACTTGTAAATGAAGGGCACCCTAACACTGGAGTGAATGGGAGGTCATGCAGACAGCTGTGAAGTAACCATAGGTGTATCTGGGAAAGTGAGCAGCTGAATGGAGGTACTCCTAGCAGGGAGGAGGGAGGCTGACATTTCAAGAGAATGGCTTCTGAAAAGAGCAGGAGAATTGGGGTTAGGTGTGAGAAGTCAAGTAGGAAGTCACAATACATCTGGGGGCTGTGGTAGGCTGTACTTTTTGGTATTTACACTCTTGAAAGTGGACTGGATTTGCAACTTGCCTTCACCAACAAAATGTGGGACCAAGCCTTAAGATGTGCTAGCTTCTACTTTTGTGCTTTGGGGAGTCTGAGCCACCATGTAAGAAGCCCAGCTGGAGAATTCATGTGGAGAGGCTCCATGGAGAAGAGAGGCCCTGAGCCTACTCAGAGCGGGAGAGAGGCCCATCTGTGTCAGGCTCCCAGCCTCCAGCTGACCCACTGGCTAAATGATGCTGCATGCTTGACTACTGGCAAGGCTAGCAGAAGAACCATCCAGCGGAACCCAGACCAGACTGAGGAATCATGAGCAAAGAAAATGGTTGCTGATTTAAGCCACTAACTTCTGGAATGGTTTCTTACATAGAAATAGATTATTGAATTGGGGGGGGTCAAAACTTAGCGGTCAGGGTCTTGTTTAGGGATTTGGAATGGGGGTGAGGACTTAGGGACACCCACGAATCTGAGGCCGAAGTTCCTGAGCCAGGTGGGGGTTCTGGTCTAGCAGGCCCAGGCTCTGATTCATTCTTTCCTCAATCACTTGAAGATGTGTCTGCACCTGTGGGGAAAGCAGGTATGAAAGATGAACTGAGAAGTGCAGGCTAGCGATGGGGAAACTGATGGTGAAGGGAGAAGGTCAGTAGGGTCCAAGGAAAAGTAGCACATACAATGGGTAGGAAGTAGGGTACAAAGAAAGGAACTGGGCCATAGAAGGAAAGAAATTGGAAGAGGAGAAGGAGACAAAGAAAACAAAAAGATGTGCAGAAGACAGAAAGTGACTTGGGAACGAAGGAAGGTAGAAGGGAAAAAATGGTTGCTAGAAAAGTGGACATAAGAGACAGGGTGAGAACTGGATATAGGACATATTGTAGAAGAGACAGGAAGTGGAGGTAAATGAAGTAGTAGGAAGGGCAGGAAATAGCGTCTGGGGAAAAAAAAAAAAAGGACACAGGAGAGCGCTCCAGGGACAGGAAGTGGGAGTGGAAGTTCACAAAACAAAGTGATGTAGTTCAAGGGCAAGACTTGGAGTTCAAGAACAGAATACTCATGGACAGGAAGAGAACATCCATGGAATAGGAATTAGGGAGGGCCCAGAATGAGGGTTTCTCCTAGGGGGGCTACAGGAAAAGAAGGAAGGCTGAGGCATGGGAATATGGTTCAAGGTACTGGAGGGGGGATTCTGAGAAGGGAAGTAGGAATCCAAGGGACAGGAAGGCGGCCAAAGGCACAGGAATGGGGAATAGTGTTCTGGGGTCAGAAAGCAGGTATCCAAGGCACAGGAATAGCGTGAAGGACTGGAAGGGGGTTTCCAGGAGTAGGAAGTGGGAGTTAGGGATAGGAAGGATGTCCAAGGGATAAGAAGGGACAGGAGAAGCGTCTCAGGGATGGGATCCAAAGGACGAGGATCTGAGGGACAGCTGGACATTTGGGAGCTGGACGAATCTGGGCACCTGGAAACGCATCTGCTGGGCCTTCTCGGGATCCACAGCAGCCACGTGCTGGTAGTGTCGCAGCGTGTGCCTTTGCTCCTTCTGCTCTGCACGCAGATAGCGCCGGAGGGCCATCAGGACCCGCTCTGCCTGTGAAGGGATGAGACTGCCTAGGCCCATCCCAGCCCTTCTTACCCTCTGCCCTTTGCCCTGACAGTCCCCACACCTGAGGCGGGTGCCCCTGCAGCGCTGCCAGGAAACCTTCCAGGGCAGCCCGGCGCTGGTCATTGATGAGAGCGATGACTCGGGTGGTGTGGGTCTCCACCAAGCGTTGTCGCTCACCGGACACTTGTTCTTCCAGGGTCTGCAGAATGGACTGGAAGTGCTGGCGAGGAGGTGGGTGCAGGGTCAGGAGAAGTGAAGATGGGTAAAAGCATGGGTCAAAGGAAGTCTGGAAAGGGCAGAGCTACAGGGCTAAGTGGGGTGGTGTGTGGTGGGTCTAGGCCTGGATAAGGCCAACCTGCGGGGGTGGCACTAAGTCAAAGAAGACTGAGTGGAAAGTGGGGAGACTACAGAGCAAAGTAGAGTGGGGGTGGGCTAAGGCTAAGGTGAGCCAGTCTGAAAATGTAAACCACATTGGGTGGGAATACTCTGGAAGTAGAAGGGGACCCAGTTACGTCGGAAAGTTAGGGTTCTGGCTTGGACAGGGCCAAACTGGAGACAGGCCAAACTAAGATGGGTGGGGCCAAGAGTCAGGGAATTGATAGCCAGCCTATTCTAAATGGAGTAGTACTGCACTAAGGCAAAGGTGAGAGAAGTTGGGCCTTTAGGAGACTAGGCCTACTGAGGAGGGATTGAGTAAAAGTGAGGATAGAGAGGTAAGAACAGAGTCAGAGGTGGAGCCTAACAGGGATATGAATACATCAAAGAGCGACTGAGGACTTGGCTATATCTTCAGGGGACCTGCCTGGACAGAGAAGGACTCCAGAGCCAGCCCTCAGAAGTAAAGATCAAGTCAAGATAGGGCAAAGCATGTCCAATCTGAGGAGAGCAATGTCAGGTGAGATACAAGCCAAGAGGGGTAGAGCCAAACGCAGAAGCAGGGCCAGAAAAGGCCCAGCTAAAGTAGGAAGGGGTGGAACTGAGTGGAGCAGGACATGGCCTGTGGCAGGTTGACAGGAGTGTGCCCCACGTGGTGAACAGGCCTAAGTAGGACCTGCTGGAGAGTGTCCTACCTCATTCAGGGCCTGTCTGTCGGCTTTAGGTAGGTTCTTGGACTGGTTGTCTGCCATGGCCCATTCACGCATCACCTGGGCCAGAGGGGGAGTTTCAGCATCTTAGAATCCACCCTGTTCCACCTGGTAAGTCCCCCAACCCCTCTTTGGGACCATGGAGGTCCCAGTCCCTTAAATCCAACTGGCTCTTTGGTTTTTGAGAAGGCAGAGCCAAAAGGATTTTAAAGTGGAAGAGTAACCAGAGTTACCATAGAATCTGGTGGCATCCCAGTGGGATTATAGATGGATCAGGGAACCCTGGTGGTCTTAGAGGGTGATGTTGAGGACCAGGGTTGATAGTAGCCTAGGGAGCCCTTGGAGCTTGTCTCAATGGGCTCCTGGGGTTTCCTAGGATTTAGGCAGGTCTGTCGGGCCCTGAGTGTCATCACCTCATTAATCTGGCGCATCCTACGCTCCTCCAGATCCATCTTGGCCCGCAGAAATCCCTCATGCTCACTGATTTCCCCGGGCATGCCAAAATACACGTCCACACCATCTGTGGGCCTTGGGGTGGGAGTCACTGTAAAGTCAGGGATCAGGGGCTCAGCCTGTGGTCTACCTCCAGATCACCTTTCCTAACTGGAGAACTCCAAAGTGCACTGGAGAAGCTCACGTACCCAGTTTACCCATAGTTGCTGCCTGGCGTCATGGGAGATACAGTTCTGAACCAGGTCTGCTTTTGCATATCTTAAGAATCTATTATACCATCCTTCCAGATTTCCCAAAATGACTCTTAGGACCTACCAAATGGTCCCTCCACCTCCAGACACCCCAAAACCAACTTCTCCCTTTGCAGTCTTCACAGGCCAGCCCTTCCACCTCTATTTTCTCCAAAGCTAGACCCATTTCTTCCATTCCACCCAAACCACGCCTTCCTCACTGGTCCCTCCCAAAAATCTGCTTACACCAAGTCTCCCCAATCCATTCTTCTCCCAGGGTGGAGGGAAGCAGGGGTTTAAAGATCATCTCACCTTTGTTGACCCCTGCAGGGGTATGAGAGTTTGAGAGTAGGACTCTCTCTTCCTCTTCTTCTTGAGCCCGTGGGGGCTCCACAAAGTAATCATCTACTGGCTGCAGGAAGGGTTCTTCCTCCTCCTCTTCCTCATCCTCAGCCCCCTTGGCTCTGCCCTCCAGGGGCCATGATCGGGTGGAGGGGTCACTGAGGGAGCAGGAGAAGATCTGGGACAGTGAGATTCTGAGCCCAGGCCTCTAGGATCCCATCCCTGTCCCAGGAGCTTGGAATGGAGGTGGGGGGCTCCCTCCCACTCACCCAACTGCTGTCCTAGACGGGTCAGGGGTCGCCAGAGGGGGGCAGCACACATACTCCACACCCCGGAACTGATCCACACCACAGGGCAAAAGCATGCCGGAGCCATGCAGGATGAGGCCCTGGGAGCTGCAGGCCTGTGGGAAGAGTGCGCTCAGATGCCAGGTTTGTGGGGTAGAAAGGGGTAAAGGGGGTCCTGGACTCCTAGTTCCAGAGGAAGGGGTTGGGGGAAGGATAAATTCTAAGGTCCTGGTGAAAAGAAGAGTCTTGGGGCTCACAGGATGTAGGGGACCAGGGGCCTGGATTTTCCATTTGGGAAGAACAAGTGCTTGGGACTGGCATGACCAGACCTGGACTACTGGATCCAGACGGAAAAGACAGCTGGAGACCTGACTCTTGAATTCTGAGGAAGAGGTTGGGGACCCAGGGTCTTGGTTCTGATGGAGAAGGGTTTGGGGGTTGGATTCTTGAGTTCTAGAATGTGGGGTGGGATGGACGGCCAGGTCCTGACCTCCTGTGCCTCCTGATGCCTGCGGGTGGAGCTTTCACACTGGTCCATGCGCTCTTGGTGCAGGAACCGGCAACCTTCAGGCACCAGCAGGGCCTCACTCACGAATTCACCCCCTGGGGGTGGGGAGAACCAGGGTGAGGGCTTCCCCTAGCCTCCAGCCCACCCTCTTCAGTATCCTAATATTTTATCCTAAGAGGTTTCTCTGACTCACTTCGGACCCAGGCACCCAGCCTGGGTGGGTCAGAGAAAGGGGCCCAGAACCTTGCCCTTCCAAGCCCCCCTCCCCCAGCCTGTGACTCACTCAGGCAGCGGAAGGGCACAACCTGATGGTGAGGCTGGGCACAGCTGCCGCCCCGAGCACCCCCGCACCAGCGCTCCATGGGGATGGCCTGCGCCGCCTGCTCCACGCGCACAATCTGCAGCTCCGGGTACATCTAGAGGCACCGTACGGGACGGAGAGGTCAACCCGCTGCCCTGGCCCTGTCAGCTGCGCCTGCCTCTTCATTGGCCATGTCCCTTTTGAAGACTCTAGGGTTCAAGAGGACCTTTGCTCCCTAGCTTTGCTGGCTGGTCAGGAGAACCGGCTTTGGCTGTCCACCCGCAGGCTGGTAGCCACGCCCCCTAGTAGATTTCTGCCCCCCCCCCAAGCTCGCCCACCCGCCATTTTGGGCCCCGCCCCTTTGCCTGTCCAGTTCTTTTATGAAGATCTTTCCTCTTCTTAGTCCGGCCTCTCCATTGGCTACGTTCCTCTCAACTCACTGTACATAAATTCAATCGCTCTAAACCCACCTAAGGAGCTCTGGTGGCGCAGTGGTTAAAGTATTCGGGTGCGAACCAAAGGGTTCAAACCCACAGCTCCGCGGGAGAAAGATGAGCCCACCGCAGATTGCAAGGATCTCTCCCTTTCCTAACCTAACAGGTTTTGCCCGGTTCTAGTTTCCTCTCTTCGCTGGCCACGCCCCCCACCATCCCCAGCCTCTTTAGATCCCGCTTCTCTCTGGACCCGACGGCAGTGAGTCTGGTTTCTTTGGTTTTCTGTCTCTGGACTATGCCTTTTGCTCGCCTAGCTTCTTGTGGGAGACTCGGCTGACTATTCTTCCCAATAGCTCACACCCACCTGTCTGCAGTACTCCAGCACACGCTGCGGGTCCCGGAGACAGCGTCGCGAGTGCTGCGAGTCTGGCTCCCAGCGGCCGGTGCGCAGGTCCCGGTGCAGGGTTATATGCCCGCATAGTCCTGCAACCTGGGCCGACCCTGGGGCCTGAGGGTGGGAGCGAAGGGGTCAGTGAAGGTCTGGGGACTATAGGCCTGTGGTCTCCCTAGCACCCAGATGTTCAGACCCTAGCACCAGTTCCCACCCCCAAGCGCCGCGCACCCGCCTCCGTGGAGGCGCCGTTCCCCGGGAAACAGCTCCTGCAAGCGGGGGCACTCCAGCTCTCCCGTTGCTGTGGCAACCCGGGTCCCCCGGGATTCTAGCGGCCTTGTTGCCGCGGAGACAGCCTCCGCCCCCACCCCGTACAGCGGCTCTGGAGACCGAAGGGGTTAAACCTGAATCGTGGGGGAGGAGGCCAGAACCCAGGCGTTCTGGCCCCTCCTCCCTCCATCCTAGGCTCAAGCTTCCATTCCAGGGTGCAACGACAAGGCCTGGCATCAGGGCCAAGTCTTTGAAGGATGCGGAGTTACATCTTGGGCTCTGTCCTAGGTCCTGGGAGGTTGCTAGGGGTGGGTGTGGGTGGGTGGGATGGGACACATTTGGGTCGGGAGGACGTGAGGGCCTTGGATTCTTGGATCCAGGTGCCTTTCTGGCTAACGGGTCTTATGTTCAGGTGGGAGGGGGCTTGGGCCGAGTCTATTAGATGGAGGTCTGCAGAGGGCTGGACTTCTGGGTCCAAGGACTCTGGAAAAGCCATTTCTTATGTCTAGGGGCGTGGGCTGGGAGGTCAGATGAAGGGGGACCTGGGGCCTGGACTCCTGGGTCCATGGTTTATGGATGCCTAGTGCTGTTTGGGGGCCGCCTGGAGGCCGCGAACCTGGCTGGAAAAACTACACGTTCTGCTCAGGACATGACTGTGTTGGGATCCAGAAGCCCGGTCTCCCCTCAATCCCGCCCCCCAGGACCTGGCCCGGCCTCACCTCGGCTGCTCCGGGGCTCCCACCAGCCAGGCTCGCGGCGGTGAGCTGCGCGCGCAGAAGCAGCAGCAATAGTGGCAGCAACAGCGGCAGCGGCAGCGGCGTTGGGGCCCAGCGGCGGCCCAGACCGCGAGCGGCGGGACTGGCAGGCCCCATGTCCCGGACCTCGCGGCCTTACGTTCCCTGCGCTCCCGCCCGGCCCGGCCCCAGCGGTGACAGGAGCTCCCAGCGCCACCGCCACCGCCTCCGCCTCCCGCGGCCCCCAGGCTGCGCCGGCGCCTCTAGCCCCGCCCCGCGCTGGCCCCGCCTTCCTGGCCAGGACAATAGCGTGGCGGGTCTGCGCAGCGTGGAGCAGCTCGCAAACCCCGGGTGAGGGCCTGGCGCAGGCGCCCCTCGAGAGTCCGGGCGTCTCACCCCATGCAGAGGCCAGCCAGGCTGGAGGCTGGGTCGTGGACTCCGTCGTTGTGGGTTTTGAGTCTTCCCTCAGGACCCAGCAATCCTCACTCCAGCTCTCTTTTACCTGAGACCCTGACACCCACTATCCGCTTCCTCCTCCTCCAGGGATGCCAGCACTGGAACCCTCCCCAGTTCCTTTCTTGAGGTCCCAGGAATGCATGCCTCCAAAATTTCTCAGAACACAAGTTGAGTCCCAGCCCCCTTTACATTCAGGAGTCTGGGCCTTAGGCCCTTTGTCCCTCAGAGCCAGGTGTCCAGGTCTTCTGCCCTGCTTCTCAAGGGTCCCAGGTGACTGGATTCAAGGACAAAAGCCCCCAGCCTAAATCCAGGACCCCAGCACCTTACCCATCAAGGAGCCAGTGTCGCAGGGTAAGGGTCTGGGCCCCCATCTTTGTTCTAAGGACCAGGGGATTTCTATTTTTCAGCCCCCCACCCCAGCATTCCTCCCCCTTAGGGCTCATTGCTTTGTCCCTTCGGATGAGAGTGTGGGAGTGTGTCTTCCCCAGGCCAGCCAACGCAGCCCTGTTGCTTGTGTGCACCTGTGTCTGTGGATTCATGCCCACGTGTATGTTTTTGTGTATGTTTGTAGATGCATATTAAGAGAGCCTAGAGTGTTAAACAGATAGCAAGGGGTGGAGGATGAATCATGGTTTTTGCTCCTACAGCATCCTCATAGGTTGGGGTAACGGAAAGACCTTGGGGCAGGTTTGATGGTCCACTTCCTTGATGGAGAATAATGCCAGGAGAATTCCTAAGACATATTAACTCCTTTGATTTAAAAAAAAAACAAAAAACATAAATATTCTCATCCCCAAATTCCCTTTCATCCCTATCATCCCCCATCACATGACAGTTCTCTTCCTAGCCTCACTCCTTAAATCCAATTCTTTCTGGGCCTTTAAGGAAGGTAGAAGGAATCAAGATGGCGGCCATCGTGGGTTTCAGGGAGCGAAGGAACATCCATCTTGGCTGTCTTTCCACCGACCAAGTGAAGTGCCCCTCAGGAAGAAGCAATACAGTGTGGGGCCTATCTTACCCTCCATCCTCATCTTCCCAGTGCTATCTTTCTTCTTTTTATAGATGGTCATCTTGAAATATCTTCTTTTTCACCAGCCAGGAACAACTTCCATCCCAGTCCCTAACTGCCATCTTGAATATCTTTTACACATGGGGAAGCAGTGGGCGCCGTGGGCATCTTATCTCCCCTTGGGGCATTCTCTTTGGTTGAGCTGACTCTATATCAAGGACCTGCACAACTGTCACGATCTTTCCCTCCCTGCAGTGTTCAGTTTTGGAGGCATAAGGTTGCCAACCAGTTCTGGTTCCTCAGAAGTTGGGATAATCCATTACGGCAAGTTGATGATTCCAGGACTCTTCAGTCAGAGAGGTGTCACACATGAGTCTGGAGGCGGGGGTGACTGGGTGTGGGGAAGGCAGCATATGGGAAGGGGGGAGTCCCAGGAGCCAGGTCTGGGGGTCCAAAGGATGTAGGTTTGATGTAGCTGGTGAAAGCTCGAGGATGGGGTGTGGTGAGATAGCCTGCTCGGGCTCTGTACAGTCTGCAGGGGGGAGCCATGCCCAGGTGTGGGCTGAAGTCGTAGAATGTGGGGCTTGCTGGGGGTGCAAGGGGAGAGGTGGGTGGCAGAAAGATGCCTCCTCCAGGGGCTTCACCAAGGCTCAGGCTCACACTGACCCCTCGGACCTTGTAGTAACCGTTGGTTGGGTCCTGAGGGGACAGACGGGATTTAGTAAGGAATGTATGGGAACAGGGAGTGAGATGACTGATGGAGAGACACTGAGATACAGTCACACCTAGAAACAGAAAAGGACAGGAAAGGAGCAGGCAGAGACAGTGAGGCAGAGACACAGACTGGCAGAGAGACAAAGGGAGACCGAAAACAGTGATAGGAGATAAAGGGGTAGAAAATAGGCCTGGTGATCTACTTGCTGAAAAAATCAGCCATTAAAAACTCTACGGAGCACAGTTCTACTCTGGCATATTAAGGTGACCATAAGTCAGAATCAACTTGATGATAACTGATTAAATGGTTAACAGCCCCTAAACTTTAATTCTGTGTCATGCCCTATGGTCCTGCTACTAGGACAGACCTGGACTCTGTCCCCATGGGGATCCCAGGCCAAGAGGGAAATAACAAATCACCAGACAGAGCCCAGAGGGGACAGGGAGGGCTATGAAGGAGAAATCACAAGCAGAGTAACGGTAGCTGCTGTGGGGGAACCTTCTGCAGAGTGATCGTGACAGTGATGGGGAGAGCTCAGGCAGAGTGACTGGGGCTGGATGGGAAGCCCAGGTCTGAGTGGCACAGCTGTGACTGGCGACACACAGGCAGAGTTGAGTGGCCCTGGCTGTGAGGGGAGAAAGAGGTGGAATGATCAGGGCTGGGATGGGGAAAGCATGAGCTTCCTAGAACAAGAAATGTCTGATCAGAGACCACAGGAATGAAGGAAGAATTAAACACCTTTGGGAAAGTGGGACTGTTTCAAGTCAAGAGATTGCCATGAGTGAGGTGCTCAGGAGAAAGAGAAGTCTCTGGACTGGGGAATGAGGTCAGTAGGGCTGCCCTGAAATGGCCCCAGAGGAGGGTAGGGTTGAGGATATGTCAGGCCAGTGTGGGACCCAATGTGTGTAAGAACCAATGCCAAGGAAAGTGGGAAGAGGGAGGACAACCAGGGGGAGGCATTCAGGAGGCCTAAAACATGACTATGAAACAATCAGATACACAAAACACAGGCAGAGGGACCTCTGGTCTGGGGCTCAAGAGAGGCCAGAGCTGGGACAGAGAAGTGAACAAATTGAGGCTGTGGAGGTGGGTGAGATGGCCCAGGAGGCAGAGGAGCTGCGGAGGAAGCGAGGCCCCAGCTCCAGGAGCACAACAGAAAGGAAGAGGAGGGGACAGAATCAGGGAGAGAGAGACACAGTGACGGGAACCCCCCTCCTCTCAGCAGTCACCTTGGTCTCCAGAATTCCCTCATCCAGAACCAGGTCACTGTGGTCTGTGTGCATGATGGAGCCCTGGGGATGGGTGGTTAGTAAGAGGGAGTGGTCAGAGGATCATCCTGCCCTAGTGCCGACCCCAAGGACTCCCAGCCAGTGAGTAGAGGTCAGGCAAGAGGGCCCAAGTGCATCTGGGAGCTGGAGTCTAGGACAAGAAGGGAGTCCTGGGAACATATTATACCTAGGAAATAATGGAGTCAGGGGCATATACAGACTTGGAGGACATTGGGTCTGGGGTCACTGTTGGGACTAGGGCTCTATTTAAGTTTGGAGCCTGGTTAAGACTGGGAGGGAGAACTGTTGGGACTGGGTCATTATTAGATCTGGGAGCATGGCCAAGTCTGGGGACCCTGGCATCTTACCCGGTCCTCACCGCTGGTCACCTCCTCTTCCTGGGGACCTCGAGAGCTGGAGCCATCACTGCTGCCTGGGATTCGCACCAGCTTCTTTGGCTTGGAGGAGGCTGAGGCCAGGGGCAGTGAGGTGTGGAGGTGAGCGATGGGGCAGGGTCACGGTTTAGTGGAGATCAATGAGAGGGAAGAGAGAGAATTGGGGTGGGCCTCATAGGGAGTCTAGGAACCAATGGGAATCCCTGCCTGGGAGGGCAAAGAATGTGACCCAGAGGAGAAGGAGTTAGGGCTAGAGGGGTGGGACTCGGGGCCAAGTTCCAAGGCCTGGCAGGATCAGTGGGCAGGGCATGGGCAGGGCTGGGACACTGACTTTTGCCATGGCGCCAACAGCAGAGGGCCACCCCAGTGATGACCATAAGGATAGTTGTGGCCACAGTAGCCACTCCGGCTACAATCCGTACGAAGGGCAGCAAGTCTGCAGGGAGAAGAGGGGGTGTCCTGAGGGGACTGCAGGGGACTGAGGAGGAACTAGGGAATAGGAGCTCAGAGTTGGGTTTGGGATCCTTGGACTCAAAAGGTCACCACATTTGGAGATTCCCAAGGTTTGCTGTCCCCTAGCTTTGGGCCCTGGGTTTAAGGGCCCTTGAATTTGAGTTCCCCAAATTTCAGAGTACACACATGACTTTAACTGACTTTAGAAAGTCTTAGTTTGGGGGGGGGGTCTTTTACTTTGCATAAAAGGAGCTCTAGTAGTGTAGTGGTTAAGTCATTTGGTTGCTAAACAAAAGGTCAGTGATTTGAGACCACCAGCCGCTCTATGGAAAAAAGATGGGCCAGTCTGCTTCCATAAAGATTTGCAGCTTTGGAAACCCAGCAAGGGTTTCTGAGTCGGAATCAATTTGATGGAAGTGAGTTTGGTTTTTTGAGGTTTTACTTTGCATATTTGGAGTTTCCCTTCTTTGAGGTCCCTAAGTGTGAGGGGTCTCTCAGTTTAGGATTCTGCATTTAAAGGAATTAATTGTCTCAAGATGTCAGGAGCAGAAGACCCACAGGTTTTGATTCTCTCCAAATATGTGGTGGGTCTCTGTATTTAAGGTCTCTAGGTTAGTCAGTATGGAAATTCTTGAGTTTGTGGGGCTTGGAGTCAACAGAGTTGGGGTCTCACCTTTTCGACCCAGGCTGACCTGGGTACCTCCCTCGCCCAGCCGGTTCCGGGCACTGCAGTTGAAGCTCCGGCTAAAGTCCGACTCCTGGGTCCCCGCAATGTGTAGCACTGAGATCAGGCCTGGACCTTGTCCCTCAAGGCCCTTGGGAGCTGGCAACGTCTCCACCAGAAACCGGCCCTGTGACCCCGCAGCCAAAAAGCCCTCATCCCAAGACCAGACCTGGGGACACCAATGAGGGAGGTCACTGAGGAGATGGCAGACAGGAGAAGAGGCAGGCAGGAGGGATGTCCGGAGAATGAGCGATGGCCACAGCAGTTTTGGGGGTCTGCGTGGGAGGTCAGGGATCACAGCTGGGTGGGTCATGGTAGGGGGACACATTTCCTTACCACGGCTTCTGGGGTAGGGGAGGCGAACACTAGACACTGGAGGCGGGCAGGACCCCTCAGAAAAGCAGGCGCAGAGTGCAGAGCGGTTACTACTGGGGGAGCTGGGGTGGAAATTGTGGACAAATCAGAAGTTCTGCCCTCCTCAAACCCGGTTATAGATCATGCCCGGCCAACCTCCTCACTAACCACAGCCACCCAAGCCGCGACCCCCAACAAACCCGGAACCCCTCCAAGCAATGCCTTCTCTAGGTGGGGCTCCAATCCCCAGGCCCGGCCTTCTGTAAGCCTCTCCCAAGGCCACGGTCACCGTTAGGCCCCTCTGCTCTGCGGACTCCTTACCCTAGAGGCCTAGGTCTCTGAGAAGCTCAGTTTTCTCACCGTTCACTGTGAGCCTCGCTTCTGCAGCACCGCCCCCCAGGCCTGAAGTCCCTGGCTCAGCCCTGCACACGTAGTCGCCTGCATCCTCGGATCCCACGGACCGGAGACGCAGGGTGGGCCCGGAGCCTAGCACCTGGGCAGCGAGGAGGAGTCAGGGGCGGGAAGAAGCCCCAGGCACCGCTAGCCACGCTCACCAGGCTCCAGATGGCTCCTCACCTGCGCCCGCCCGCGGCGGGTCCAGGTTACCCTTGGAGGCGGGTTCCCACGCCAGGCACAGCTGAAGGAGGCATCTTCGCCGACGTCCACGGACATGGGTTGCGGCTTTGCCTGTAAAATGGGCCCGACTGGACGAGGGAGAGGTGGCGTCATGGCTGGGGAGGGATGAGACCTCAGTCTCTCAGAAACACGACAGCTGCAAGGACCCAAGTGTAGGCCCCAGGTCCACAATAACTCCGCCCACTAATTGTCCACGCCCACGCCCCACCCCTGCTCCGCCCCAGCTCCACCCCCGTCCGGACCTACGTCTATTCCATCCTCCCCGCTCTCGGCCGAGCCCAAGCCGGTTGCAGCCTTTTCCCTCTCAAACCCTTAGTCCATCCACTTCAGCCCGCCCTACTGTGGCTACACCTCGGCCTCGGCCTGGCTCACATAGCACGTCCAGCGCGGTGCTGCGGTTGGCGCTACCCACGGCGTTGCTGACCTCGCAGGACACGGGTTCAGTCAGGAACGACGCGTCTACCACGACCTCCAATCTTGGCCCCCGGGCCCCAAGCACCGGGGAGCCCCCCTTAGCCCACCTGCGGAGGTGACGGGGCGGTTAGTGTTGTTCCCGCTCCCCAGCCCCAACCCTCCTCAGGCCCCTGTCCCAGCTCTTCTTAAATCTGTGCTCTGAGCTGGGGAGAAGTGGTCCTCACCTGTAGCCGGTGACGGGAGGTTGGGCCGTGGCCTGGCAGAGGAAGGTGACCTTTTCTCCTTCCTGCACAGTCTGGGGATTTGCGGACAGAGTCACCACTGGGGGATCTGTGGGTGTGAGACAGTGATCAGTATGGACAAGGACCTGAAACACCTCCAATGAGGGACTAGGAGTCCAGTCTCAAGCCCCTTCTCCCTCAGACACCCCAGGAGCCTGGGCTTTCAGTTATCTATTCCTCAGGGACCCCTGTGTGCACGCCCTTAGTCATCTCTGGCTCTCTCAGACTCAGGCATCCAGGTCCCAGCCCCCACTTTCCCTAGGGACCTCAGGCTCAGGACCCAGCATGGCGCTGCACTCACACTGCAGGCTCAGTGTGATAGCCGTGTCTCTCCCTGTGGGCAGGGCCTCGCTCCGAGCCCGACAGACCAAGGTGGCTCCGTCATCGTGGCTGGAAGGTGTTAGGGATAAAGTGCTCTCCACTGTGCCAGTGGTCCCTTCCTTCAGCAGAGTCTGGAGGTAATGGATAGTAATAATGACTTCATCTACCCCATATATGTTGTTGTTATTATGTGTGGTTGAGTCAGACCCAACTCATAGCGACCCCTCCTTGGATTTCCAAGGCAGTATCACTACAGAAGTAGATTGCCCAACCTTCCTTCCAAGGAGTGGCTGGTGGGTTTGAACCACCAGCCTTCTGGTTAGCAGTCAAGTGCCTTAGGCACTACTCTACCAGAGCTTGCACCCCTTATATAGTGCTTACTATATGTCAGGCACTCTTCTGGGCATTTGTCAATTTTCCTAGTCTGTGATGTTTACAGAAGCAGACTGCCACACTTTTCTCCCATGGAGTGGCTGGTGGGTTCAAATTTCCAGCCTTTTGGTTAGGAGCCGAGTTCTCTAACCGCTGCACCACTCAGGCTCCTTTTATAAATTTTACTTTGTTTACTCTCCACAATCACCCAGAGGTGCATACTACCATTATCTCCATTTTACAGGTAAGAAAACTGAGGCACTGAAAGATTAGGTATCTTACTCAAAATCAACTAGTGAGTGACTGAGCCAGGGTTTGAACCAAGGCAGTCTAGCCCTACTTTAACCACTTACTAAGGGCCTTAACCCTTGAACCCTGGCCTCTCATGCCTTTTCTCCTCTGGCTGAGCCTGAGCTCAGAGTGGACCCCAAGTTTCAATGAGTGGGCAAAGCTTAGCCCAAGGTCTTGGTCCTGACCTGACGTGAAGTGGCCCCATCCAGCCGGACCCCATCGCGGAACCACAGCAGCTCAGGGGTGGGGCGGGCATGCCCCCGGCTCCGACAGGTCAGATTCGCAGGAACCCCAGCAACCAGAGACACGGCAGGGCCGCCCAGCACCTGGGGAGCTTCTGGAGCCACTGCAGGGTGGATTGGTGATCAGAGCTGAGCCTGGGCCCAGAGACCTTAACCTTCCCATTTCTAACTGACCACCCTCTTGGGCTCCCTGAACTCTGAAACTCCCAGCCAGCCTGAGTTCCCTGAGGACAAATCCTCACCCAATACATGCAACTGGGCCGGGCGAGAGCGGAGGCCTGCCTGTGTGGCCTGACACTCGTATAGTGCTTCGTCCTCTAGCTCGACAGGTCTGATATGGAGGTTGTGCTGGCCGCTGGCTGCATTACCTGCTATCCAGTACCGGGACCATCCTGGAGTCCGGGAAGAGGCAATTACAGTATTGTTCTGACCCCAAGCTTCCATTCCCATACACCTCACACCAGAAAACAGACCCAGGCACCCCACAGTAACACTACTAAAAAGTGGACTCTACGTCCAGAGACACTCTAACCCCTTCCCAGTCCACTGAAAACCTGGGGGGTAGAAAGCCAGAAAGGAAAGCAAGAAAAAGACTGCCATAAAAGTCAGGTTAGAGGTCACCTGTATGGTGAGAGGGAGGGAGAGGGTTATGACAGGCTTGGTGAGCAAGGGGGGTTCTAGGGAGCTGGCAGTGCACCTGGGTCTTGGTTACACGGGTAGCTACTTTATAATTATTTGACAAATCTATTTATCATTTATGTACTTTTCTGCATTTATGTAATATTTTACAATGAAAATTAAAACTCCCAAACCCTATGGCCCACTTCAAAGCAGCAGCTCAAACATCAAGATCTTCAAATTTGTTTACCTGAGCCCATCCATCTCCCAAACTTGAATATATCAAAATATTCAAGTACAACCCAAGCCCACCACTCCCACCGTGCAGCTCCCTGAGCACAGCAAACAACCTCACCTGGCAGGTCCCTGTCACCCCCTAGAGCCAGCCCATCCTTAGTCCATTGAACCAGCCCCCAGTACGCGCCCAGAGCACAAGGCAGCTGGGCCTCGTCCCCTAGCAGCACCACTAGGTCCTCCGGCTGTTGCAGGAAATGGGGCACCGGGCCTAGAAGGATGGAGGACAGTAGAGGCGAGTTTAGCACATTCAAAGTCTCCCTCTTTCAAGACTCAGTAGTCCAGGGCTCCAGTTCCTCTTCCTCCGGGACCCAGGAGTTCAACTCAAGCCCCTCTCTCCTCGGACCTAGAAGCCCGGGCCCCAGATTTCTCCTCCCTCAGACCCAGGAGTCCAGCCCCCAGTCTGTTCTTCCGTAGTAAAGCCCGCAGCCAGCACACACTCCTCCCGCTTTTTCATCCCTCCCCCCTGTGCGGTACCTGCATGCCCTTTGAGGCAGGAAACAAGGATGAGGAGGGCAGAGGCCAACATCCGGAGTGTGTAGCCCTCAAGATCAAAGAGACCGCCAACTCCTTCCTCGGGAGGACACCTCTCACTACCCTGGCCCAGAGCTCCTCCCCGTCCTACCCTTCGTCGGCAGCTAGAAGCTCTCGGTCCCTGGCCTGGACTTCCCCGAAGTCTGCTCATCCAAAGCCTCGGACTCTCTGAATCCCCAGGCAGTTCCGCGCGCTCCGACTCTGAGCTATTCGGGGGCGGTCCCGGGGCCGCTCGCCCCGCCCCCTGGGAGACCCGCCCTTTTCTCTTTGAGAAACTCCCGCGGCTGAAGCGCCGATGAATAGGGCTTTGCTGGGACCCGCTCCGCGGGCACGCGATGGCCCCAGCACAATTGAGGTCTGGGAGCAGGAACACCTGGGTGGAAGGAGAGGGACCTTGCTGGCGCTGGACACCTGCGCCATGGGGGGGACGGGGTGAGGAGGAGGGAGGGCAGAGAGTGGAAGAAACTTGCTCAGCCCAGCTCCTGGAGGGACTGCGCTGAGTGGAAACCGAGCTATAAATGGGAGTCTCCAGGGCCTTGCCAGTTTCCGCGCTCTGGGGAGGCGGGGCCGGGGCCGAGGACTCCCCTGAGCCTGCGGGTCAGGAAAAGGACACTGAGGACCTTGGGGGGCGACTGAGACCCGCGAGAAGGGGGTTCAGCTTCCCCCGCTTCGAAACCCTCCTCGAAATATCCCTCTGCCTGCCTTGTTCCCGCTGCAAACGTTATCACTCCCTAAGACCCAGGGATCCAGATCCTTTCCCAGGACCCCACTGTCTGAGACCAGCCCCTCTTCTCACTCTGCCTGGCCCCTCCGCTGCGGTAGCCCCGTTGCTGGGCGACGGCTGGGAGGTGGCGGTGCTTGGACTCTGGCAGGCAGAGGCTGGGAACCACGCAGCTTGTCCTGACAACTCCATGCAGCCCAGCTGGGGCGTTCCCACGCTGCACGCGGACCGGTGCGCCGCGCAGCTGGCCGGGCAGATGGATGGGACCTGGAGCAGACTGAGGGGAGTGCTGGGGGTCTGGGTCCTGGGTCTGACGTTCCTGGGCCTGTAGGGACTAGGGGTCCACATTCAGGTTCCTGGTTGTTCCTGGGCTCCTATTCTTGCAAATGGCTACAGGTTGTTCTCCCAGGATTCTGAGAGACTGGAGGTTGAGACTTCTGGTGCCAAAAAGCTATGGCCTGAAGTCTGGCTTTCTGAGAGGTTGTTGTTGTTGTTGTTATGTGCCGTCGAGTCGGCCCCGACTCATAGTGACCCCTCCTTGGGTTTCCGAGGCAGTATCACTACGGAAGTAGGATTGCCCAACCTTCCTTCCGAGGAGTGGCTGGTGGGTTTGAACCGCCAGCCGTCTGGTTAGCAGGCAAGTGTCTTAGCCACTATGCTACCAGAGGTGGGAAGTAAATCCCTAGGGCCCCTGCCTGCAGCATGAAGTGGTTAGGAGAAGACAGGGGGCAGAAAATCTGGTCTTAAGTCTTCCAGTTGGTGGATTTATTTTCTCTCCAACCCCCACACAGCCCAGGAGGATTTGAAAATCAGGAGAGAGTGAACATCTGTCCTAAGTCCTGAGTGGGGGTGGTGGAGGCCTGAATTCCTGGGTCAGGGGCTGGGGACCTGGACTTCTGAGTCTGGTGTGGGGAGAGAGTCACGGAGCTCAGACTCCTGGAGGTGAGGGCCTAAGCTCCTGGCTTCTGTGTTGGGGATCCAGTGCCTAGATTTTGAAATAAGATGGGCTTGGGGCAGACACTCCTGAGTCTTGGGAAGGAAGTCAGGTAGTGAGGTTGTTTTTCCAGACACTTGATATTGCTTCCTTTCCTGGCTCTCTGGGGCCACGGGCATGGAAAGATGGAGAGCCTGAGGTCTCAGGAGCATCCAGAGAAGGAAAACAGCCACGGTAGAGGGCGGAAGGTTTGTGCTAATTAAAGGTTACAGTGACTGACAGCCTTACACTCTGGCCCCCAGGGACACACCATTTGGTGAGGGCCCCTATGACAGACTCCCCAGCTCTGCATTAAGTCCAGGTCCCAGGAGGGATGGGAGGTGGTTGGAAGAGGGGATGTGGGAGGAGGGCAAGAAGTCAATAATGGATGAGAAGAAGAAAGACTAAAGGGCGTCGTATATGGAGCTGCAGGGCTCAGGCCAGATGCCTCATCTTGTTCCTGGAGAAGGACCAAAGGGACCGTTGAGAGAGATAGCGAACAATTTCAATTCCTTTAGGAGATAAGCAGGTATAAGAAGGTTATTCCTTGTGAGTGTGCACTTGCACACTGGAGTGGGAGGGCTGGCCAGCCAGCATATAAAATTTGTGGATGTGACAATTAGGAGGACTAAGAGACAGAAACAAATGGAAGAAAGACACAGTGAAAGGTTGACAGAGAATAAATATGGATTGAGCTCCTAGTGTGTGCCAGAGACAGAATTGGGGGGGGGGGAGATAGAGATGAGGACAGAGACAGAAAGAAAAATAGAGGCACATAGAGGCAGACAGAAACATACAAAGAGAGTGAAATAATCAAAGGTTGAATAAGAAGAAATGTGCTCCTAACGAGAGGAGAGAGAAAACCAGAGACACTGAAACAGATGCAGAAAGACAGAATGATAAAGGCAGATGGACAGCAGGAGAGAGAGACAGATGTAGAGAAGGAGAGAGGCTGGGGAGACCAAACATTCACTGCTGTTGAGTCAATTCTGACTCATAGCGATCCCCATTGGGTTTCCAAGACATAAATCTTTATGAAAGCAGACTGCCTCATCTTTCTTCTGTGAAGTGACTGGTAGGTTGGAACCATGAATCTTCTGGTTAGCAGCCAAATGTCCTAACCACTACACCACCAGAGGCTGGGTAGAGATGGTGAAAAATGTAACAGAGGATTGGATAAACCACATGAACTGGAGTGTGTACCATGCATTCCTTGCCAAAGAGCACCTACGCTGGGCTTGCTGCTACCCCCACACTTAGTGCCGGTGGTTTAGGATCCTGCCTTTCACACCCAACCATTCTGACTGCCCCACACCCTGCACCCCCATGTGTAGACACTCTCACATTCACATGCTTTCACAAACCACAACTCACTTCAACCTTCCTGACTCATACACATGCTCACACTCTTACTTGCACACTCACACACACACACGTGCACACAGATACTTTCACTGTCTCCTACACTCTCACAGCCTCACACACACTCTTGCACACACCTCAGCCATAGATCCCTGATGTCACCGAAGGGGCTGATGTCTACTCTGGGAGGAAAGGGACTTGCCAAGGTCATGTACCAGGGCAGGGAAGAGCTGAGAAGTCCTACCTCCCACGCTGGACCTAGCTCTCCATTCCCCATCTGAGTGAAGACTGCCCTGCTCCTGACCTGCCATGCACCCACCCCACCATGGTCCATACCAAGCACAAGCCAGGGCCTTGGGTTCCCAGGGCTAGGGAGGCACCGAGGAATGTGCCTGGCATGTGCTGACAGGGGATTTCATGCTCCAGCTGGGCTGGGAGGAGTCTGCTGGACACCCAAGGGAGGTGGCAGTGCAAGGATAAGCTCAGCTGGGCCAGAGAACCGGGCCCAAGTCATCCTCTTTGAGAGGCGGTGAGTGGCAAGAGAAGGGGAGCAGGAGTGGGGGGTGGCAGGACAGCAGACAAGGAAACAGAGAGGAAGACAGAGACTCCAAGAGAGGAAAATCTTGGAGAGAGGATAGACAGGGAGAAGGACACAGAGAGAGAGATCCACAGAGAGACTGAGAAAGAGAAACAGAGAGGAGAGGAGACAAAAAGACACAGAAAGAAAGGAAAACAGGAAGAGAGGAAAGGAAAAAAAAAAAAAAAAACTAAAGAAAAAGAAGAAACAGACGCAGAGAGACGTCTCAGAGAAAGACCAGGAAGACGCAGGAGGCCGGCAATGGCCACTTTGGGAACCACAAGGGGGCCTGGACTGGCACTCAGTGCCCTGAGAACTCTCATCAACACTGCCCTGGTGCTCATGGGGCTGCTGACCACAGGTGAGTGGGACCCTGTCCTGTCACCCAGCACCAGGCAACCCTCATTTCCCACCCACCTTCCCAAGCCAGACCCCTGCCCTCTCCTACCAATCACCCTGTATCCCCAGGCCTGGCTCAGTCGCAGATTCCTGCCTTGGTCCCCCGCAACTTCTGGGCCCTGCCTGAAAACGTGACGGTTGTGGAGGGGGCCACAGCTGAGCTACGGTGTGGGGTGAGTGCCCCTGGCAGTACAGTACAGTGGGCCAAAGATGGTCTTCTTCTAGGCCCTGACCCTAGGATCCCCAGCTTCCCACGGTATCACCTGGAGGGAGACCCTGCCAGAGGTAAGGGAGCAGAGCCTAAGTCGCTGAGCAACCAGCAGAGGCTGTCACCCTGACCTTGGGTTCCACTCGCAGGTGAATTCCATCTGCGTATCACAGCATGTGACCTCAGTGATGATGCGGAGTATGAATGCCAGGTCAGCCGCTCAGAGACGGGCACCGAACTAGTGTCTCCACGAGTGATCCTCTCTGTCTTGGGTATGGACGAGAGTCTTCCAGGACTCTGGAGACCCCACCCTTTTCCCACTCAGGGCCCTGACCCCAAGCCCAAATCCTCATTTTCTTCTTAGTGGTGACTGACCCTTTCTCCCCAGTTCCCCCCAAGGTGCTTCAGATGACCCCTGAGGCAGGGACCTCAGTTACCTGGGTAGCTGGACAGGAGTACGTGGTCAGCTGTGTGACTGGAGATGCAAAGCCAGCACCTGACATCACCATCCTCCAGAGTGAGTGCGGGTAAACTGTGGGGCCAGTGTGGAGCCCCTAAGTGAGAAAGGGGTGTGTTCCTGCCCACAGTCTTCTTAGGGGTCACTGGAAATACACCATCCTTGAGATGGGGACCAGAAAGAGGGACAGGCTAGTGTGGGACTTGGTGAATGGGAGGGGCCACAGGAGACTACAGGAGCACCTAGCCTAGTTCTCAGGGAAAGGTTGAGCTGGGACAGAGCTATTGGTACTGTTAAT